AAGTTTATCATTGCCACACTCCACAACAGCTGCTATGGTCTCGCCTTGAGCCTTGTACGTATAAAACATACGTGCACGTACGTGTGTATGTGTGTTTGGGTTTGTACACCTAGCACGGTACATCGTGTTTTGATATACAGCAGCCCATAGGGACATATTTTTGTGGTCCCAGTCATGTCAGTAGTTCCCCTGTGTTTACAGGTGCTACTTGTATGAACAAGGTGAGCAAGATTTGGCTCGAAGTGGAGGGGGGAAATGCCACGTGCCTCAGTTGTTCAGCGCAGTTTTGGGTTTGTAAAATTAATTTACTAGAGCACCCTGCAGACCTCTGAGTTCAGTTATTGCCACAGACAGAGAGTTGTATAGCTCTTAGATTTCTTCTTGTGAGAGAAGGTAGGTTTTAGTTGCTCATTCAGGAGAAATGGTTTTGCCTACTGCGCGAGATAAAATTTAAGGGCCTGATCCTGCCATGGTTATACGCTGAGAACTTCAGATCTGTGAGCTCAGTCCTGTGCATTTTTCCTACATGGATATCAATTGACCTGATTTTGAATTTACTTCCCAGCTATAAATCACCCATAACTTCCTTATGGTTGTTTGTGTTTTTAATGTCACCATAAAAAACAGCGTGAAGTCAGAGTCAGCCCTAGTGGGACTCCACACACTGCCTCAAATTAACCAGACTTTGTACGGTGGAAATTCCGAGCATGCAAAGTAAGAAATGCAATTTAGCATGTAAGTTATCCCATATCAAATATACCTTACAACATCTCCGTCCGAGAAATCCTGTAGCAGTTAAAATCGCTTACAGTTTCCACCAGATTTGCAGCATCGACAAAAGTGTAACACATCAGATTTGCTTTGTATACCAAGAGACTCTTGTCCTTTCGGTTGCTCTTTTCCAGATTTAGCAAAATTCAATGGTGGTGCTAAATCAATTTTTTTTTAACTTTCAAGGGAAAAAACACCGGCAAAATTGTGTTTTCTAGGGAAGGCTGTGTGTGTAAATGAGAAGCAGTGGATAGCAGCAGAGTGATCTCCTGTGGCCCTGCTAGTACAAGCTTTCCCCATATTGTCTCCTGCTTTTATATTAATTACAACTTGCATTATCAGCTGCGAGTCTGTAGCCCAGCAAATAGAAAATACTGCCCCTGGAGACCTAGCTTCTTGTATCTATTTTCCATCTCCTTCTATTGTGCTCTACTCAGTATTCACTGCTTTTCTCCTGGTAACACTGCTCTTTAACACAATTAGGTAAGAGCAAGAGGAGCACCATATTTGACTCCCAATTATTAAAACTATTGGGAATAGATACATGTGTGCTGTTTATCTTCTGTGGTACAAGGCAGTAGTTTAGGTCATGCACGTGTGTATGTGTTATAGCTGTATTTGTGTGTATATGCATACGTATCTATACATATTCAAGCACAAAATAGGCAGTTGCATTTTAGCAGTGTTCATCCACATTCTTTGATGAGTTTCTGCAATCTCAGATTCTAGAAACTAGACCCTGCAAGCAGAAGGCAAATTAATAGTTTGTGTAATTCCCCTTAGCTGTCTACATTTCTTCTTTTCACAGCGCAATAGCTTAAAACAAATTTCATTGAAATCAATAGAAAAAAATACCATTATAGTCAGTGGACTCTTGATCAGGATCGCTCTAGATATTTAAACCACATTCATTAAGTGTTTCTAGTGAAATACTGTTTAGATGTGTCATTGGGTCCATTTTTTTTTTGCAGAGATATACATAAAATTGCTACTTATTATTCAGCATTTGGCCAAAAAGTTTTTTTTTGATGGATGCAAAGTTGGAAACAGTCTAGAGGGAAAAAAAACAGAAGTTGACTGACACGTAAAGTGATCTTTGTCAAAAGGAAAATATGTTTCTTTTTTTAAGCTCCACCCCTAGAGTTATTTCCATTTGTTATAATATTAAAGCATAGTTATTTTCCTCCTTTTCCAATTCTTCCAACATTCTACTGTCACATCTTGTAAATACCCCATCTTATTATTTCTTTCCTTCAACAAAATGCTGCCAAGTTATTTCCTCGGGAAATTGTGTCACAAGAAATACACTGAATTCCCAATCAATACAGTCTGTCTTTCTAAAACTGGGTCTACAAGCCGAGGTCAAGAACAACTCAGTCTGTTTGAGACAGCAAGTGTTTTCAGCTGCAGGAAGTCTTATTCAGTGATCCTTTCCAAATCATTACATTTTTGAAACATAAAGGCCGGCCTGGCTTTTGAAATACTGTATGATAGGTTTTGGATGACATTTGCCTTAAAACATAGCTGAGGTGTTACCAGTTAATTATTGTAATTTTCGTATGTGTGATAAGGAGCTCCAACAGCAGTGGCTTAAGAGAGCCTGCAGTGCATAAAATTAACATAACTCAAAGTGTTCCCTGAAAAGTTTAGCCTAGGTGAACACGTTACAATTATTACATTTTTCTAAAAGAAGGTTCCAGCCTGATGTTGTTGCAGGGCTAAACTCATGCTATGCTATTGTTTCTTCCCTTTTTCATGTATTTCTTCTAGCTCTTTATCTGATTACCATCCGGCAAACAGCTGACACTAAGAGGCTGCAGAGGGCTGAAGAGCTCCTGTCTGCTGTTTGCCTTCAGCTTGAAGCTATTTGAGTGGCTTCCTAACTCAGAGATAAAAAGAGAAGCTCATAGGCACAACTGTTTTAATCCAGGCTGTAAAGTGACTTGCTCCATTTTTGCATTTTATTTCCATCTGAACTTTTTCCTAACCTTATTTACAGCCATTGCCTTTTCCCTTCCTTTTTCTTTTTTAAATAACATCTGGCCTGCTTCAACTCTCAAGACTTTTCATCTTTGTTTTTCTGCATCTTTCCACCTGACTCTGTGAAATAATGGTAATTTTTTACTTATTATTAAATTGGGGGGAATTATGGTAGTTAGAGCAATTCCAGAGATCTAATTAATATAACGACCTCAAAAACATCAAATACGGCTGTTAATCTGTTTTTCTCTATTGCAATTCTGTGTTAGAAAAGTAGATTAGTGTTAGGGGGTATTTTGTCTTCTTGTTTTTGCATTGTAACTGATGCCTGTTTAGGAGACATCAGGAGAATTAGGAGAATTTTAAATCCTATGTTATCTTTGATTTACTCTTGCTATCTTGCTGTGGAAGTGTATGTGTGTGTGCATGTGTGTATTCGTGTAAGGTGAAGGGGATTTGGATTTTTCTTCCCTCTGGTCACCTAAGCCTTTAGCCAGAACCTTTTGAAGTCACAGGCTCTTCCCTTTGTGTGTGCCATGATCTGGGTCAAGCCCTCTAGATTTATGTGGCTGGGTTTTGTAGCAAGACATTATTTGGCAGTTCCAGTTTACGTTGCCATAGAGCATGTGGTACTAATCAGTGCTAGGAGATTACTTGGAGATGTTTGGTATATTTCTGGGACTAATTCTAATCACACTTACCCTGGCTTTTACAACGAGCAAATCAGTTGATTTTTGTTGAACTTACTCCGACTTTGTGCTGGTTCAGGTGAAGTCAGGATCAGTCATCCTCCCCCTCCCCCTAAGAATTTATCTGAACTCGTACTTGGCTGCTTTCAGGCTCTCTTCCTTTGTGCTTCAATAGACCAGTGTTTTTCACAGTGCACTTTAAAACATGCTGAAAAATAAAAAGAGATTTTTTTTTTTGCTTGTTTGGAGTTCTTGGAAGGTGCTCGATTTAAATTGTCACATGCAGGTGACAAGTATAGCAGGTCCAGCCCCTCGCCTGATCTGTTTCATGTGTTCTTGCTCTCCTTTTCTGCCAGAGGAAATTCCATCTCTTGCCTGCCTTCATGTGGTGCTGATAAAGCTTTTCCTGTACAGTAGAATTCCTGTTTTCCTTTAAGCAACAGCAGGGTATTGGGAATGATCAGGAAAGGGGAGGAGGACAGGAGGAGAATACACTCAACCAAGTAGCACTAAGCTGTAACGTTAAGTTTTTCCCTCTCTTATTCCTTTAAAAAGCAGGTCCCCGTGCCAGCAAAGCCAATACTCAATAAATTAGAAAGCTAGCATGAATTATGTGAGTGAAATACAGTAGTTGAGGTCTTGCTTAGCCAAGTTTTGTCAAACTTCGTCTGTCTGTCTTCTGCAGTCTCTTTTGTCATGTTTTATGCATAGTAATGCAGCAAGGATTACATAAAAATCACTATACATGTTATTTTATATAATCACCTGGTGGTTATTCTTGACAATACTTGTAAGCGAACTGTTAGACTGATACATCTAGAAAGTCTTTTGAAATGTGTCATATCAAGGTGGGGGGGAGAGGAAGCATCTTGTTTGTCATATATACCATGTTTCAGAGGAAGTTTGCTTTTCCCCCCACGATTTTTCATTTGCTTGAAGTTTTTCCAGCATTCAGAGTGGTGGCAGGGAGAGGGTGTGAGAGCACACTCCTCTCTGGCTTTTTTTTTTTTTTTTTTTTTTTTTTTTTCTCCCATTTCTTGCCAAAACGGTGTCCCTTCCCTTCCTCCCACCTCTGATCTGCCAGGGCAAAGCCAGGAGTGAGGAGAACTTTGTGCTGATTACCCTGATCCTGGTGTGAAAACCTAGGGCTGTAGTAACCTGTGTAGGTTAGTGGATACTCCCCTCCAGCCCTACCCCTCACTATCTCGTTAAGAAACTTTTGTATTTATATATTTATATATGTATATTTATTTCTGAAATGTTCCTATGCAAGGCTACTAATACAATTAAACCTAGATAACTCTTTGGAAAGTTTATTTGCTGGTTGTTGTTGTTTTTTAAACCTGTCTTTTAACAAATAAATCTTGCTACCTCCTTTGCTTGTCACTGCTGAGGAATTATTACGCTGTGCAAATAGTATCGGCGTTTGGCACGTTTCACAAATGCTAATGTGTATACTTTCCCCCACCTCCCTCCCCTCTTCTCCCGATTTTCTTTCTGTTCTTCATTTGCTATTGGAATGGGAACTGTGGAAAAAATTCCTTGGCACTCCGACACCAGAATCCCTCATCTTGGCGAGACCACGATGATGCAACGTCCACGCACTCGGCAGGCACCCCGGGGCCCTCCAGCGGGGGCCACGCTTCCCAGAGTGGAGACAACAGCAGCGAGCAAGGTAAAAGGTCAACCTTTTTTCCCTGTGCAAAGTAGGCATGACTAAAATAACTCCAGCTTTTTTTTTTTTTTTTTTTAAATGATATCAGTACATCTGCCTTTGAGTAAACACGGAGTGGCAGACTTGCAGGGTAATCAGCTGTAACTTAGGGAGACAGTATTTCCTTTTCTTAACCCACTTAGCTGCATTTTATTATTATTTCAAAGAGAAATATCTAATCTTCAAACAAGCTTTGTAATAACAATTGATTAGTTCTGCCAATTCCTTTACAAATTTGGTTATCTACAGTTTATTTTTTTGTGGTGTAAGTAAATATAATGACAGACATACTCTCCAGCTGTGATGCAGTTGCTCGAGCTGGGTAATGCAGAATTTAACCTGTAATTTTAGCTGGGGAAGTTCTCCTCTAAGAAGTTATGAAGCTACCAATTTATATGGAGAGGATGAAACAAAAATCTGTCAAAAAGTGTTTCTTGCAATGTTTGCTGGTACGAACTCTTTTTTTTTTTTTTTTGCTTCTGAACATCTCAATTGTGAATGTTAAACAGAGTTGTGTCTGAACTGCAAAACCACTTTTGAAACTACACAGTGAAACCCTCCTCAGGGTTCAGGAGGCCTAATTATTTTGGGGTTCTGTTTTATTTCTTATTGGTTTTCACCTAATGTGTAGTCACCTGCATCCATGCAGAGTGAGTGTCCATGGCTGTCACTTTGCAATGATAGTGTAAAATGCTCACTTGTCACCAGTGTGAGTGACTGCAGAAAGCACAAGTAAATGAGATTTGGACCTCAAGTGCTGACAGGTGGGGGGTAAAGATGGCCTTCTCTTTGAACCTAACATGATATTGGGTTTCCAAGACCATAGTTCAAGGTGGCATTACCTTTTCAAAGCCTTCGTGTGCTCCCTCTCTTACACACCTGCAGTGTTTTGCCACTGCTGCTTTCCCACTTTGGGGCTGCGTACATCAAATGCAGCCTGTTGACACATCGGTTGTTCAACAGACCACACAGAGCCCCAAAACTGGGGAGAGGGAGCAGCCTCTGCCACAGCTAGGGGTATTACCTTGGTAAGGGATGTCCTCTGTTATTAGCTCTGCACTGCCGACCACTTCTCACCATGATATTTTCCATGCTTAAGTAGACACATGACTTTCACGTGTCCCATTGTGGGTCATGCAGGTAGATCCCCATGTCCCTCTTGCAGTCTGGTGTGTATTGTATGCACTGGGGTTCTAGGAACTTGCAGAGTTTCTTGCTGGTACATTGGTTTGGGTTTGTCTCCTGTTTGTATGACTTGTTTATACATTTGTAATCTTATTGCTGATAGAAAGCAGCCATGACATAGGGTGTGATCCAATTCCAATGTGAGTCATTCAGGGCTTTTTCTCTTTTCTTTTTTTTTTCTCCTTCTGTGTGGTTGAATTGGAGCTGTATGGGGCCCAGCATAAACTATTATAGCTTCAGTGGTTAATGAAAGGGAGGGCTTGACTGCTAACAGCAGATCTGTGTTACCCCTAGGAGCTGGCTGTAGACTTGACAGTTGAAATATTGTTTACTTTGTATGTTGTGGCTAAGAAGTTTGATGTAGAAGGTTGTTTACATACTAGAAAAATGATTCCACTGAGTCATCTGCCACAGTGTGTTCATCTGCCCCTAGATAAGACATCTTGTTACACCTGTGTCTCTGCTTTGTTCCAACAACCTCGTATAAGTTGGGAACTGTTTTTCATAAAGCCGTGTTTAATATAGAGGAATCTCTACAGTGACACTCAGGTATCCTGTATTTCTCTATGCAATCTCTGATCCCCATCGCATAAATTAGCGGACTCAAGAAATATTCCTAAGCAGAAGAAGAAAGTAGTTGGTGACTGTAACTACATGCACTTCCCATTGGAAGCTGGGCTTTGCAGCAACGAGTATGGTGTAAACGAGTGTGTTGTGCTTATTTCTGCAGAAGATAACCAATTGCTGAAGGGCTGAATTAGTCGCTAGAGTGGTGCCTGATCTAGCAGGGTAAAACATAGCTAATACGCTTCCCTTTGTGCCCAGTCCAGCTTTCTAAAAGGAGGCAGTCGTCCAGTGGCAAATCAGTGTTCCGCTCAGCTGCTGGCAGCCGAAAGATGTACGATCGTACAGTACAGACAAAATTCCCGTTGGACTGCTCTCCATCTCTCATCCCTGGGAAAGATTAAAAAGAGGGAGGCCCGGTACAGAGATCTGTGCATTTTCAAAACACTTTCTTGAGCGGCAGGATTTACTTTATAATTCTGAAATGGAAGCAATTTGGTCCCTACCAGTTCTAAGATTACAAAAATCCTCTCTAGACCCATTCTGGCTTAGTTACTTATTTTGGTCAGCTTTGTTCCTCTGCAGTTTTGTTAAGACCTTCCTCAAATGATACTTCAAGTATTCCACTTTACCCATAAGGATTTCTTGAGAACAGGAGCTCATTAGAGTCTTAGGTTACATTAGCAACCTATGGGCTTTTCTGCTGATGCCTTGTGGCAGAGCAGGGATTGATTCAAACTACAGCCAATCTTTTCTTTCTCTCTTTAAAAACCTGTCTGTTGTTATTCTAAAAGAAAAAAAAATTAAAAAACATGTGAAACAGAAGAGCACCATTTTTGTTGATTTATGGAGGACACCTTCTCCATGACAGCACATGATGTCTGTCCCATTGGTATCAAAAGGGTTAATCTAGTCAAAGTTTCAAATGATTAGAAACATACTGGCATTGAAAGAGTTAAGGAAAGGGCCTTCAGGCAGTAAATGTTGAAAGATTATCCTAATTTTATTAGTGGTGAGTGTCTGTGTTGTTCTTAACATGTCACCTCACTTGTTCAACAGAAAACTAAGCTATACAACATATTGATCATCTAACGAACCTAAGTACTGGTGACCTGTAATCTACCAAGCCTTTATTGACTTTATCCTAGTTCAGATCCACAAATGCAGATCAATGCTGCATAATACTGTTTTAGAGATTAGTAATTATGTAGTGGATCTGATCAGCTTCTCCCTGCCCTGGAAAAAGAACGAGTTAAATATATCCAATAATAAAAGTAAAGCACTCTAAACATCTTACAAAAGAGAAAAAAGGAGAAGCTGATTTAATGGTCTAATGAGGCCATCTTCCAGAGACTTGTTTTGTGTAGGGCTTGCTTTGACCTTTCGCTTTGCTCAGGAGCCCAACGCTTCATTTTTCACATTCTTGCAATTACGTTAACGCTTCAAGCATTTCTGACTCCAAGTCAGCTAGCAACACCAGGCATAACTCAACACTGTGAGTTTTTCTCCTCTCTGTAGATTCATTAACAGGTCACTGGGGTCCCAACTGAAATTTAAAACTGACTGGTTCTGTTGGGTTAGTTGAGTTATAGCAAGGGAGATGGCAGGAAAGGGGCTGAGAGAAGGGGAGGAGAGACTGAAGACCCTGGGGTTTTTGCCAATGAATATATGTGTGTGCAAAAAAAAAAAAAAAAAAAAAAAAAAACACTAAGCAGAAGATTAAAAGGTGTGCGTAACTTTGTCATCCAGCTATTTCTTTGGAGGGAGAAAGGACATATTTTGAAAGTCTTCTGGAGCATTATGTTTTTCTTATTCTATGTGAAACAAATTGAGAAAATATAAAACTAAATGACTTCCAGAATTCTGAATCAGTTTGTACCATTGTGATGTGTATGATGCTCTCAGACTTCTAATTCTTATTTAATCTCTTTATGGGATATTTTAAATAATGAATATAGCAGATTATGCGTGGAAAGTGGGAAATAAATCTTTTCAATGTTTAAAAACATGTGGTCTACAGGAAAGCACTGGGGAATAATTTATTTCATATTTTATGATGATGGGATTGTATACCTGGTTTGTTATATTCTTAGTTTTGTCATTCAGAGAGCCTGATTAACCACAGCTTCCATCTGATACCGCTTTATGTTCAGCACCTTTCAGGATCAAGCCTGGGGTGGTAAACTTGACTAAGTCAGAAGCCAGAGACAAGAAACTTCCTCTAAGTTGTATGATGACAGTAAAATGATAAGTAAAAATAATCATGACAGTAAAAATAATAAAGAGGCAGTAAACACAGCTTGTCTTACTCGCATGAGTAGTCTTTGATTTTTGATGGAGCTATTTGTGGAAGAGGATCCCTCCTTTTATATAAATAGTTGAGGACTGCTCACTAGGGCAATATTTTAACATGTTTTTGAAACACTTGTGTGTTAGTTTGATGCTTGTCCCACAGACTTGTTTGCAGTAGCTTTCTCAGGGGAAAGTCTAATTCTCTGGGTCAGGACAAAGCCAACCAAGATATTAGCTGAAATCACATACCCTCATCCTAGGTAACATCTTCGGTCCAATGAATTTTGGAAAAGTTAAGTAATATGCTTCTTGATCACTGTATACCATCAAGTAATACAGAATTTTTTTTATGGAAATACTTGGTGAGGTCCAAAGGCCTGTCCTATTTTTGCAAGTATACTGATTTAGTAGGAGAGAAAAAACTTTGAACCAAACTTAAATAGAGGGAAAAGGGAGATGGATAAGTTGCTGACAATATGCAAAACAAACAAACAAAACCCTTTTCTCTTCGTATGCATATATGTAAGACTCATACAAAATCTTTCATGGAATTATTTTATCCAAATGTTGATACTACAGCTTTCATCCCTGCTGCACGCCCCCCCCCAAATGTATAGATAAATCTTTTGAGGCTAGTATATATGTTCATGCTAAGAATTCAGAACACTTTGGTTTATTCCTATTTGCACCTATCAAGCTACTCTGCATGAGGATACACTTTTATTTGAGACAAACTCTCTGCTGTAAGGACGGAGAGGGGAAAGAAAAAAAAGAAGAGGAGAAAAAAAAAAAACAAAAAAACCCTAACAGAAAGGACCAAACTTTCAGATTGTGAAAAATCAAGCTTCCTAATAAATAATGCTTCACTGGAGATGCATTATTTGAGCAGGCAGAGCTTTCATAAAGGTGAACTGTATGAA